TTGATCCAGAATCTTCATCTGACCTACGACCAGGTCTGAACCTTCTATGATACATGGAGACACAGTCACACTAGAGAGATTGTTGTGAAACATCAGTCCATGGAAGATCTCCCGTGTCAGGATCCCCAAGAGTACCCGTTAAAAATACTGATTACCAGGCACCCTCTCTCAATTCTATTGGATCAACAGCTTTAGGTCTGAAACCCAGGAATCTGCATCTCAAGCAAGGACTCCAGGTGGTGGTTTCAAAAGAGTTCCAGGTTTGGAAACTCTTTGCCTAGACTAGAGAAACTGGATGATAAATACTCCAAGGAATCCCATCTCAGATAAGTTTTTGCCCCTGCTCTATATGAGGGCATTGCTACAGGTGAGGAGCAAACTCACTCATTTCCGTAGTTTGCCTTTTCTTTTCATGTCCACTACTGGACGTGCACAATAACCATGGGAGGAGAGTTTCCAGACCGGTAAGGATGAGCCATTGTCAGAGCAGAATGCACTCATTGGGACCAGCATTTCTGACTTTTCCATTAGCTGAGCCAATGCAACTCCCTCCTCTCCATGCCTTGCTCTGGGGCTGCAAGCACACTTATTGGCTTTCACCAGAGCAGGGTCACTTGACTTGTTGTACATAGATAGCACTGCCTGAGAACTCCAGTGTGAATTTGAATATTTCTGTGATATTCCATTGTTTTAGATTCAGATTTCTGGAACAATACCACTGCAGCCATGTGGTGTCCTGGAAAGCCATATCACCCCATTCAAGGTTGCCTGTCAGAAGTTATAGGGTGCTAATGGGTGTTCAAGTGACTGAGGCACAATATACCCACATGACTGTTCTTTGAAAAGTTGCCTCTTGGTACGCCCCCGAGGCAGGTGTGTTTTCTAATTTCCAAGTTGCTCTGGATGCAATTAGAGGCCATTAAGATATTAGCATCTCCCCAAGATGATATCATATGTTTCAAAAAGTGGCCATTGCTCATTCAGTTAGAGCTTTAGGCTATTGCTGCTTCCAATTGCCCCAGCTGGTCAGGCAAGAGCCTCTCCATCATCCCCCACCCCATCCCACCCCCACTTCAGCAGGTAGTCCTGTACTAAGTACTTGGCAAGTGCACTAAGGTCTATGAATATTGAGATGGTTAGTTTATTGTGCCAGCTTGGCTGATAAAACACATGTGGGATTAATTGAAGGGCAGAGAGATAAATGGCTCAGTGAGCCTCGCCTTTCTTATCTCTCGCTCTTTGATCATCGGACCAGTGTGGGGCTGCCTTGCTTGTCCTGTGCTTCAATTTGCAAGCTACACTACCTGTGGGACACCTAACCTGTGGAGTGTGTTGCTATAATTTGAGGTTCCTTTAAGACCTGGGCTTTGCCACACAATTGGAATTTACATCTCTTGAGCTGGGGACTGACTGTTGGTGACCTGCCTTAATGGTTGGCTTCTGGTGCCCAGAGAATCTGAATCCCTCTACAGAGGACTACCTGGCGGCCCTCAAGACTTGAAGGACTGCCAGTGCCTCACAACTGTCTAACACGTGTGAATTATACTGAGCCATTTGTACTGCTTTATAATGTAACTGTTTCTTTCCTGTGCTATCTATCTATATAACTGCTTTATAATTTAACTGTTTATTTCTTGTGTTATCTATCTATCTATCTATCTATCTATCTATCTATCTATCTATCATCTAAATTATTAGCAATCTGGTTTTGTCTCTCTAGAGAACCCTGTCTAACACATTTTGGTACCAGGAGTGCTTTTAGGGAAATAAAATCATAAATATGGGCTTCTTAAATTGGCTCTCCAGCCTGGTCTTAACACTAGTAATGCTACTTCAACACCCCAAAGCATGGATGAGTCTGCTACTCTTACTAATCCATGGTGTGAAATAGCAAAAACAATAGCTAAAGTAGCCCCACTGATAGATGAGGTGCTGGTTAAAGGAGGGGCTCTGAGTGATCGTATGTTTGATATTTTCCAGGAGTTTTGTAAGGATGACAAATGCAGGGAAGCTGGTTGGCTGGTCCTTCTTACAATGGAAAGTATGATTCAGGAGAGGGATGACCTTAGAGCCTCGGAAGCGCGCCTCAGGTGCAGACTAACGGATTTGAAAACTTCCATCTGTGTGCTACAAGGGAGAGCCTTCTCTCCTCTAGTAAAAGAGCTGACATTGCTGAGAACCAGGTCCAGAGTCTCACTATGCGAGTGACTGAATTACAACGGTCACTCCCTGCTTTTCACAGGCTTCATTCTTATTTCTCTCTATATGGCTCAGGTGTTTGGCCCTCTGCAGAATGATCACATCAGCGATAACTGAGTTTGAGATGATTAGGTCTCATCCGTTTTTAGAATGATCAATTTGGAATCTGTGATATTTTCAAATATACAACATGGTAGTTGGTTCCATCTAAAGCAGCGGTTCTCAACCTGTGGATCGCGACCCCTTTGGGGGGGTGTCGAACGACCCTTTCACAGGGGTCTCCTGACTCATAACAGTAGCAAAATTACAGTGATGAAGTAGCAACAAAAATAATTTTATGGTTGGGGGTGGGGTCACCACCACATGAGGAACTGTATGAAATGGTGGAGGCATTAGGAAGTTTGAGGACCGCTGGTCTAAAGAATCCCCATTAACAGTCCAATCAGGGCTAATTTCTGATTAGTGGAACCACAATAATTTTATCAGTCAACTGAATAAATGACAGAATATAGAACGTGTTTGACAGACTTGAGAGAGTTTTATAACATTTCCTTGCCCGGGTGTCTCCTTTACAATAGTTATTGTGAACAAAAAATGGCTCCACTTAAGACTTTCAGGTCAGCTCATGTGAAATTTGTCGTGTTTAGTTTTCGTTCCTAGCTTGCTAGTGATGTTGGTCGCAACACACAGTGTCTCTGTGCATACCAGAGCGAAGCCCGAGCTGGCCCCGCAGCATCCTCAGTCATTGACACGCTGGGGCTCACTACTGCCGCCACTCTTCAGCTGAGCCCAGAGATGGCTTCCTGCTTTTTAACTGACACTCGGCCAAGCATGATGTCCTCCTTTAGGCTTTGGTTCCTCCAGATAACATGCCCAAAGAACTGTTCCGGCTCCTTCCAAGACATTATTGGTCATTTTTCTGGAAGTCCCTGGTACTCAAATCCCACCTGAGTCAAAAGGCTCATGGAAAAATTCTGTTATGTTTTAATTTCATTTTCTTCCAAGAATTTTTGAAGCCTCCTCATATAATTCTTTTAGCTAGATGGTAATGCCAAGTCATTGAAGTCTTAATAAAAGCTCATTGAATCTTGGTAGGTGTCTGTTACTCTTCCCCATCCCCAGGGCTGGGATAACTGTAGGTGAATATCGGGAATTTAAAACGTCACACTTGTGAAGGACACGAATGCTGCTTTATGGAACTTTGGGGAAGCAAAAAGAGGGTTTGCTTCCCAGTGGAGTCCGCTTATTTAACCAGCCACTTTCGAAGTCAGCCAACGGGAGCACTCAAGTTGTACC